TAGGGTATTTGGTTGCATAGCCTTTGCTCATATTAGGCAAGAAAAGGTCGAACCTAGAGCTCTGAAATGTATGTTCCTTGGATACCCTGAAGAAGCCAAAGCTTATATGTTGTGGTGGCTACAGCCAGGCCACATGAGGTGTATCATAAGTCAATATGTAGTTTTCAATGAGGCTGAGATGACTTTCAAGAAAACTGGTGACATTAGTCGAAGTTCGAAGATATCTGAAGAAGAGCTGAAATAGGAAGAGATTCATATTGAGTTGGAGCATAGTGATGCCGAATCACATGATCAAGATGAAGTTGAAGAAGAAGCAGAAGCTACTGTCAAAACCAAGAAAATTGTAGATAAGTACCTGTAGAAACTTTTCATTAAAATTGTGTATTTAGTTTATTAAAAGTTTATAATTTATGTTTTTTTATTGTTTTTTTAAAAACAAACTTTCCATTTTCGTGTTTCTTATTATGTGCTCTTCGAGCACAAGTTACCATGATCCAAATAATAATTGAAATTTAAAATATTAGTGAGAGTGTTGGGGTAGCATACATAGTAGAGAAGATAATAAAATAGACGTATATGGTTTGGTCATGCAAATAGAAGACTAGTAGATTATGTGGTAAGGAGAGCAGATCGAATGGAGAGGAGTCTGAGATAGAGGTAGGGGAAAACCTATAAGAAATATATGAGGAGTTATTAAGAAAGATATACACATTAACGATTTAGAGAGAAATATGATCGTGTATAGAACATTATGGCAGAGGTTGATCCATGTAGCCGACCATACTTAGTGGGATAAGTTTTGGTTGTTTTTATTATTATCGTTGTTGTTATTGTAATGCTAACTTGTGACCTAAGGGCAAAAGTTAAGATTTAAATATATAAACTTTTATTAAAATTGTCTATTGAGTTTATTAAAAGTTTATAATTAAAGCTTTTTATTGTTTTTTTCAAAACAAACTTTCCATTTGTGTGTTTCTTAACATGTGCCCTTAGAGCACAAGTTAGCATGACCCAAATAATAATAATTGAAATTTAAAATAAATAACACGCAATTAGTAATAACAATGTACAAAATTATATATATGGACGGTTTGGCCGAGTGGTCTAAGGCGCCAGATTTAGGCTCTGGTCCGAAAGGGCGTGGGTTCAAATCCCACAGCCGTCATTCTTTTGGGGTTTTTGACATTTATGGTTGAATTATTACCTTTTTAATGGTAACAAGTTCATATTTGAAGTTTTTATTATTCCTTTTATTAATCATAATGATGTGAAATTTTTTTAATGAGTTATAATATGGATGCTTTATGGGTGGATAACAATAACGGGACAACAAATCGATGTATTCATAAGGAACAAATGGTTTAAACTTCATATATTTAAGAGTTTCTGCTAGTGCATGAGAACATATTTATTTGAGCCTTTTCACATTTATGGGTAGAACTACTACCTTTTGCATAAGAATAAGTTCATCTTCGAAGTATTTTCTCTTTCAAATATTTTTTCTAGTGGATTTTTGTTCTTTCCTATTGAGTTTGCTTCAGATTTATGGGTAGAATTATTAGCATTTGCATGGGAACAAGTTCAACTTTGAAGTATTCCCCCCTTCCAATATTTTTCTAGAGTTTTTCTCGTTCCTTTTATCAAGCATAATCTTATGAATAAAGTTTTCATGAGTTCTAATATGGACATTCTAGGGGTGAATAACAATAACGGAACAATAAATCGATGTATTGAGAAGGAACAGATGGTTCCAACTCCATATTTTAAAGAGTTTTTGCTATTGCATGGTAACAAAATCATCATTGAGCCTTTTCACATTTGTGGGTAAAAATATTATCGTCTGCATGGGAATAAGTTCATCTTCAAAGTATTTTTCCTTTATAATATTTTTTCTCGTGGAGTTTTGTTTTTCGACATTTATGGGTAGAATTATTAGTGTTTTCATGGGATCAAGTTTATTTTTAAAGTAATTCCCCCTTCAAATATTTTTCTAGTGGAGTTTTTCTCGTTTCGTTTATCAAGCATAACGATGTGAATACAATTTTCATGATTTTCTAGTGGAGTTTTTCTTATTCCTTTTATCAATCATAATGATGTGAAATTTTTTTAATGAGTTCTAATATGGATGCTTTATGGGTGGCTAACAATAACGGAACAACAAATCGATGTATTCAGAAGGAACAAATAGTTCAAACTTCATACCTTTATTAAATAATGGATTTCTTTTTTAATTCACATTATAAAGTGTCTTGCTTGTACTTTTAAATTTCATCTCTTATGTCCTCATTTTAATTCATTCATTCCTCCCTCTTTAAAAAAAGAAAAAATTATGTCATTTACTTTTCTTAAATAATGAATCAATTGTATAATATATTTATTAATACTATCTGAGTTAAATTTTATAAAAAAGAAAATAATCATTACAATTTATAATACATAATTATGTTTTCCAACAAAGTGTGAATTATCACGTTTTTTTAGTTCTATTATATCATTTTTTCCCACTTTATTGTGCATATTTCTGGGTACATTATCCTATACTACTTAGACCATTAAGATCCCACTTTTTTTTACATAAAATAACTACCTCTTCCATTACATGTCTTTCCTATGTAACAATGAAACTGAGTATACAATTGTTTTCGAAACTATTTACTAAACGATTTTTTTACCATTATACATTTCAGTAAAAGTTGAAAAGTACCTCTTCATTAAATAGACGGAATACATCCATAAGCATTACCATAGTACACATTACATTAATCGATGTTCTTGAACAAAATGGGACCAAAAGCAAATACCATTACAAATGAACAAAAAAGGTTTATAAACCTGAACAAACACAACAAAATATCAACACCAAAATATCAACAAAATATCATCTTCCAACATCCAAAACTTTATTGGGAACACCTAACTTAAACCAAATTATCATAATCCACCATCCTACAATCTGAACTGACTTTTAACGATTTAAGATTTTCACAACAAGTCTGCCTCCTAGAGGGTCGTGAAGTATGAACGCCAGCCCGTCAACTCTTTTGAGGCGTTTGTTCTTAACAAACTCATACCAACCATGCCCGTTATACATTTATGCACAATACTTTCTTTTAGAACGGTGCAGTTCACACTCATACCCTTTTCGACTTTTAGCATCAACCAACAGAATACGCACCTTTGGCCAGATTTCAAAGACTCCCTAATAACTCTCTGAGAGACTTGCTATACATTTACAAAATTTCATATCAATATATAGCAGATTGCAAACATTTATTCACTTATAACAATAAACAGGGACATATGAACTTACAAGAAACATTTTTTTTTGCAGCTATCTTCCTAAATTTGATCTTCCTTTTCCAAACAAAGTATTTTAGGCGCCTTCCCATTCCTTGATCACTTGCCTCTTCATCAGAACTGCATAAACAACATAATCGTTACATCTTTATCCATTAGACATCAAAGGCCACAATATTAACACTAACATACCATTTAATTTTTTTAACTACTAAAACTATAATAACTCTAAACATAATATAATATGCTAAAATACCTTTCACTGTCAAAAGAAATCTAAATGTGTGACGATCCAGGACCAGACAAAGCTTTTTGTTTCTTAACATCCCTTCCTCCCTTCGGTGATTCACATTCCTCAGTTACATGCATATTTCCCTTCTGACCTATGGCTTCCCCGACGAGTACATGTTCACCTAAAACAACACATTTCCCCTTAACATCTTTGACTTTTGCAGTTTTTGCACCATCAGCAACATATGACCCTACTTTTTTTCTTCATTTTTACCAGCATCAACAACATATGACCCTCCAGTTGTTGTTATCTCAACTTTTTTCTTAGCCACATTTGCCATACAATTGGCTTCCTCGACTTCAAGATATGCCATGTCGAGAGTCATACGTCTAGAAGCAGTTTATACCTCTAAACTATCAATTGATTTGCACAAAAATACCATAAAATATAATACAATCGTTAAGTGTTGAGAGGACGTGATATCATATACATGCAATTAGTGTATATGCATAGAATCGTAACAACCTTCCAAAAGGGGTAAAAGGACTATTGCTTGATACTTTTGGGTTTCCTACAACAGCTCCGGTTCTGGATGTTTGGCCTACCAACCTATATTTTTTTAAATCTTCAAAGGACATGACCTTTTTCTTGCCCTTCTTCCACTTACATAATTCTTCATATTCAAGATAGTCCATATGAAGCTGAAGTTGTCTCTGTTTTTCGTCCCTCTCCTCTTTGTGGGTACGTGAACTACAGTAGTATAATAACTTGCAAATCATTTTGTAAATCAACATGCGCAATCCCTAAAACTCTAACTCACGAACGATTGAAATTAAACAACAATGAATATGTAAATCTAAACACTAACAACTTGAAATACATTTGTTGATCAACAACATCGATGCAACATGTAAATCTTTTTCTAAATAAACATAGGAACACTTAATGATAGCCATCGTTAAAATCACTAGCGCGTGTTACCTGACGTTTCTGTCTATCTCATAAGCGATATCACAAAACAAACAACAGAAAATCATAACAGTATTTACCTTATGAAAGACCCAAATTATTCGTTCTTGGATATTATTTGTATGTAGAGAGCTTTAATGCTTGCCAAGTGAAAAGATCGTCGCTTCTATTTGAGTGTATTTTAAAATACAAACAATTTAAAACCCTAGCTGTTTTTAATATGTCAAATTGGACCTCTAAATTTTACTTTTTTTTTTTTTTTTAAGACTCATACGTATAACTTTGCAACAAATACTACATTTTCTTTAAAAAACATGCATATGGTCTTACTTGAGTGAAGACTAATTAAACAAGTATGCTGAGTTGGATGATTTCTATTGGTCAGAATAACGCAAAACAGCGTGTCACGCTCATACCCTCAACATTTCAACAATTTACATTTACTCTCATTATTCTGAATTTCAATTTCTTCCATTGCTGGAATTTGATTTTCAACAAAGCAATGCCCACCGCCAAGTTGTTTCTCTCTCTTCTCAGTTTCTCTTTCCTCACCCTCTCCGTCACCGCCCGCCCCTACGTTCTCGTCCTCTCCCAAGAAGACTTCAAAGACGAACTCCCTTCCGATCCTGATTCCTCCCCCGAGTGGGACGAGTTCGGTGACTCCGACTCTCACAAGTCCGAAGAGGATCTCGACCCTGGATCATGGCGCCAAATCTTTGAGCCATCCTCCACCGAACCCCAACCTCAACCCCAATCCGATACGGAGGCGCTCTACTACTCCGCCGTGACCAAGCTTATGACCGGGGATGCGAGGTCGATTGAAGAGGGCTCCGGTGAGATTGAGACGGCTGCGGAATCTGGATACCCGGCGGCACAATCGGTGTTAGGGTTTTTGTGGGGAATGGGGCTTTTGAGAGAGAGGAGCAAACAGAAAGCATTTGTTTATCATCATTTTGCTTCAGAGGGTGGAAATATGCAATCCAAAATGGCTCTTGCTTATACCTATACTCGTCAAGATGTGAGTTCACTTCAATTCTTATCTATGAACTTCTATAATCTATTATAATGTTAGGGTTTTTCACAATGATGTTTCTGTTGGAATGGTGGCAGATGTTTGATAAATCGGTTAAGCTTTATGCTGAATTAGCAGAAGTGGCTGTTAATGGTTTTTTGATTTCGAAAGATTCTCCTGTGATTGAACCTATTAGGCTACACAATGGAGCTGAAGAGAACAAAGAGGCACTCAGAAAATCTAAAGGGGAAGAGGATGAGGACTTTCAGATTCTCGAGTATCAGGCACAGAAAGGAAATGCGGCTGCTATGTACAAAGTGGGCCTGTTTTACTACTTTGGGCTACGCGGATTGAGGCGCGACCATTCTAAGGCACTTTCGTGGTTCTTGAAGGCAGTGGAGAAGGGAGAGCCTCGCTCCATGGAACTTCTGGGAGAGATATATGCGAGGGGAGCAGGTGTTGAGAGAAACTATACAAAAGCCTTTGAATGGCTTACTCTTGCATCTAAGCATCACCTCTACTCTGCTTATAATGGGATTGGGTATTTGTATGTCAAAGGCTATGGAGTCGACAGCAAAAATTACACTAAAGTATGATCATCATTGCCTTTTTTGTGTTTGTATGCATAACATTCATACAAGAGGACTTAAAAATTTTGGGGAATGAAATGGGGACTGTGTCTATGTATGTCTATGCTTAATTTATGATATCTTTTGGGAATTGCAGGCAAAAGAGTATTTTGAAAAGGCTGCTGATAATGACGAGGTCGGTGGCCATTATAATCTAGGTGTCATGTATCTCAAGGGGATCGGAGTGAAAAGAGATGTGAAGCTGGCCTGTAAATATTTTATAGTGGCTGCCAACAATGGTCAACCGAAGGCTTTCTACCAGCTTGCAAAGATTTTTCATCTTGGTGTTGGCTTCAAGAAGAACGTTCCATTGGTAAGTTGATTCTTCATTTGTCTTATTTTTAATGCAAGTGCTGATGAAAAACTGTTGATTAATTTAGGTAAGAGCCCGTTGTCAATATGATTCTCTCTGTTTTGCATATTAATAAGCTTGCAATAGAAGAATGTAATCGATCGAAAGCTTAGATCATAATTTTGTATGTCAAAGGCTTTGACATACAAATACCCAATCCCATTATAAGCAGAGTAGAGGTGATGCTTAGATGCAAGAGTAAGCCATTCAAAGGCTTTTGTATAGTTTCTCTCAACACCTGCTCCCCTCGCATATATCTCTCCCAGAAGTTCCATGGAGCGAGGCTCTCCCTTCTCCACTGCCTTCAAGAACCACGAAAGTGCCTTAGAATGGTCGCGCCTCAATCCGCGTAGCCCAAAGTAGTAAAACAGGCCCACTTTGTACATAGCAGCCGCATTTCCTTTCTGTGCCTGATACTTTCATGATTATGATAAAAGTATTCTATTGACTCTGTTCTAGATGCAAGACTTTGTTTACATACAAATTGAAATGATTAGTACCTTACCACCCAAAATAGCCAATAGCGGCGCTATAGCGGGACAGCGAAACGGAGGCTGGCCGCTATAGGAAGAGCCTTAGCGGTGTAGAACACTATAGCGGCCGCTATAGGGTAAATAGCGGGATAGCAGAGTAGTTTCTGGCCCGCTATCCTTTTCTCCTCTGAAAAACCGAAATTACCAATTTTGGGTTTTTCAATCAAATTAAGACTTGTTGATGTTAATTAAGAACGTCAATTAATACTTGTTGGTTTTTGAGCGTTTTTTTATTAAGCGTTGTGCTTTAATTTATGAATATTTTATGGGTTGAGTTATTTTTTAATTTTATATTAAATATATGTATTTAACTATTGTATGTAATTTGTCCAAAAAGGATCAAATAGTGCTACACTTAAATATAGAAATCTGCCTTTTGTTTTTTTAAGAATACATAATTTATATGATATAGGCTGAAACTACCATAATATTCTAAAATATAGAATCATTAGAAAACTGTTAGACCCAAATCTGAAGATGAATTTCAAAGCCAATTGATCAGTAGCTCAAACCAAAAGCCTAGGATCTAAATGGTTTATACCAGAAGAAATTGAAAGCACCCAAGTTGTCCTGACAGAAGAAATAGAGCAACTAGTCAACTACTAGTCTGAAAGGGATACCAACTACTTGTGTTAGGAATGCTTGAAGAATTCCATGCTATTAATAATTTTTTAGTTGTAGTTTGATCTTTACATTATTGATGACATAGGGTGTCATATTTCAATACTTGATTTTTTTAATGTAAAATGAGGCATATTGTTGACATAAATGATAAGCTCCAGGTACCTTGAATTTTGCTTGTACCCTGTAATACAAGCAAAAAAAAAATGTAGAAGAGGTCCCAATTGGGGATGATGGGATAAAAGATTGTGGTCAGTGCATGTTTGGGCAAGGGAAAGGCCTTTCATTAGCTATAAGAAGGATGAAGTAATGAGGAACAAAGGGAATGTAACATAACTGACGCGTGGCAGCATATGAGAGAAGGGAAATAAGTGTGAATTGTGCATGGGAGGAACGATAGGAAATGTGGAATGTGTGTGGGGGGGTGGGGTGGGGGTGGGGTGGGGGGGGGGGGGGGGGGAGTATTAGGGAATGGGAAATGATTATTGAAGGATAGATGTAACATAGTGGGGATTTCACTGAGGACTGCTGTAAAGTATAGCTGGGGTCTCTCTGTCTTGTGAAGCTTTCTTGCCATTGTTTTTTTCTATTTCCTTCCGAAAGGAGCTCGTCTACATTTCCATTGCTATTTCACTAGTCTTAATATATCCACAACACTCTATTTTATCAGTGGTTTATTGTAAAAGGTCATTGACTCTCTCCCACGCGTGTGTGCGCACACAGTCTTCAGTTGACACCACATAAGATTATGTGTAATGATAGGGCCGGGTATAATTTAGATTGGACCTGAACCCAGTAGGAAACGTTCCAAAGATCTGGAAAGTTTACACCATAAGGAAAGGGGGAGGGGGGAGTGTCTGAGCTGGCAGATAGAGAATGCTAAGAAGAGGGTAGCTGCATGAAACATGAGTTACATGTATCATTAGGCTAGGTGCTGGGAAATGGAGACATATTTTGGAAATTAGTAAGTTGTTATGAATGGACAAGCATAGTCTATGATGTAGTACGAGTGCGGGTGCAATATGGATACTTGGAACTTTTGAAATTTAGGATACGGTACGGTCTAGATACATTGACAAAATTTATAGAAAAGTTATATACATGTCAGAATACTAGTTAAAAAAGAGGCATTGATATATAACTATGATGGTCACAATTTTCACAATATATTTTAATATCTGTTTGGATATCGACAAAATCATTATTAAAAGAACTAAAATAAGTATTGACTCTATGCAATTGTAAAACAATTTATAAAATTTAATAAACTTTTTGTCTAATGCTAACTGATTCAGTCTATTATTCCCAGTTGCAATCATCATAAAAAGCATGACTTCTCATTAGAGACAATTCTACCAATTCTAAAAGTTCACTGATGTTCCGCAACCTTGTCCCACAATTTATCAGTTGTTTTCCATTAATTCAATGTTCGCTGTTATATTGTATGTGTTTTCTCTGGTTTGTATAACATCATCCATTTGAATATAATTATGATGGTCATTTATTGAATCTGAGTGTTACCCTTGAATTAAATTTAATGAATTGTTATGCTTTTCGCTCCCTAATGATTATTATATCAAATACAAGTCTCTGCCAACAAATTTACGTGCTAACAAGTTTGAATTTGTGGTCTTAGGCTACTGCCTTATACAAATTAGTTGCAGAACGAGGTCCATGGAGCTCTTTGTCCAGATGGGCACTGGAAGCATACTTAAAAGGTGATGTTGGCAAGGCATATATGTTGTATTCAAGAATGGCTGAGATGGGCTATGAGGTGGCACAAAGTAATGCTGCTTGGATTCTTGATAAATATGGAGAACGAAGCATGTGCATGGGTGAATCTGGACTTTGCACTGACGCAGAAAGGCATCAGCGGGCACATTCTTTGTGGTGGCAAGCTTCTGAGCAGGGCAACGAACATGCTGCTTTACTAATTGGAGACGCATATTACTATGGCCGGGTATGTGATTTTGAAATGACTTAAGCATGTGTGTGCTTTGAACATTCAATCTAAGCCATGGTGCACTCTTTACCTACAACCTAACTTCATTTTCTTGTGTTTCTCTCTGTTATCTCAGGGAACTGTCAGGGATTATGACCGAGCTGCTGAGGCTTACATGCATGCCAAATCGCAATCTAATGCACAGGCCATGTTCAATCTTGGGTACATGCATGAGCATGGCCAAGGACTTCCCCTTGACCTTCATCTAGCCAAGCGTTACTATGATGAAGCTTTAGAGCAGGATCCTACAGCTAAGTTGCCAGTTACACTGGCACTTACAAGCCTGTGGGTTCGGATGAACCATGCTGACAGTATATTGGTGAGTTTCTTTGGTTTGCCTGCTGCAATATTGCATGTGCATAGTAAAACCAGTAATTGATATTTGACAATGTTCAAATATAATGATACTTTACTTGTTATGCTGTCATGGTTACCTGATGTAATTTTGTTCATTTAGCTCTTAGGTGGCTATATGATATTCTGTCTCAATTACTTAATGATCTATTTAAATGGCGAATCAAACAGTTTGCATTTCTTTAGCATAACTTGTATTTTTGGTATGTGAATATGCCACATCATTTTCCCTGATGTAGGGGACAAATGTTTGATGAAGTTTTTAATATTGTGGTGTAAAAATACTGAAATAATTTCACTCTTAACACATCTCAGTCATTTGTATGAACACTTCTTGGAGTGTTTGGCTCATAGAAAAATCCCACTGGTGAAAGAAAATGAATTGTGGCCTTGCATGATTGTTGTCTTTAACCTAAATCGCCTTTAAGTTGACTCCTTTTATTCTGTTATTCTATCTAAACAATATTTCAGTTTTCACACTTCTAGTTCCTGATTGCAACGTGCTTATCTTTTTCAGGTCCATATAATTGATTCTTTGCCAGATGTCTATCCAAAATTAGAAGCTTGGGTGGAGGATGTGCTTTTGGAGGAGGGAAATGCCACAATTCTAACCCTCTTTGCATGTCTCCTAACTGTGTTGTATCTGCGCGAGAGGCAAAGACGGCAAGCTGCAGTTGTAGTTGGCGAGGTTGCTCAGCCAAATCTCCCTAACGAGCTTGGAATGCCAGCACCCATGAGATAGAAACATGTTTATAACTTTAGGCCAAATTGTACCATAGAGAACTTACAGTGGTGGGAATAAGTGAATTTGTAGATATTCGATATTTATTTTGTAAGGTAGGAACAAGGAACAGGCTTCTACGCTTGATCACTTAACCAACCCAAGAGATGAGAACTAAAGTATTACAGTAAAGATGCATTCACTGTTGTGCAAGTTTTTCTGTATGGGATTGTTTGAACAACTTTACAGAGAAATAGTACACTATAAATAATCTTTTCATTGTACTATCTGTGACAAATGAAGTGATCTTGCTCTTGCTTGAACGTTGTGATTGGCTAATGAAAGATCACTGGTTTTCTATTAGTATTGTACCTGTTTTGCTTTCCTGATAAAATAACCAAGTTTCAATGTTCATCTTAAAGGCTATTGCTGAGGCACTGGCACTATCATGAAATTTGTAAGTTGAAACTAACCGAACCTATTTCAATAGTTTACAAATTGAACCTAAATCTTAAAAGGCATTTTACTAAAAAGAACCCTACTCATTAATCTCTAGTTCAGTTTCGTATCTCAATTATTACCCAAAATAAAAATTTCTCTCATAAACTGAAGATCAAAGTACAATAATTATATAAGGAAAATTAAATTGATTTTGTTTTAAAGGAAGAGTAACAAAAGATCTTTGCCAACACTTCCGACCAAAATGGTTCCACTTGCCGTGACAAGTGCAACTTGGTGATAGCCAACTATCGATTGCTTCATTAGTAGTTGCGAGAGAAAACAAAAATCTAGAGGAAGATAGCTTTAGAGAGAAGTGAGAAGTAAAAATGAATGAAAAATAGTTATAACAGAGTAGAAGAGTAACCAACCTGAATGAGGAAATACTGAATGAAAAAAACAACATTGATTCATTTTAAGTTCAATTGGGGTTAAAATACTGAACCAGTTCAAAGAACTGTTGAGTTTGGAACATCATATTAACATTTGGTGTTTAGTTTCAGTTTGGAACAAAGTATTAATATTTGGGGTTCAGTTAATTGAACTGTAGTAGCAGTTCACTTTTTATTTTGAACCAAACTATGAACAGTCTGAAGTAGCACCTAATACCAGAAAAATGAATGCGAGCATCATATTTTGGACAAGCATGATCAGTGAAATATTCAAGAGTTTACATAAGCAATTAAGAAAAGGTCGCTGTCAATCCAATTATGATATTTCGATTTGCACAACTCACAGGTGAAATTTAAAGCCTTAGAACATTCATACACTGTTAGATCAAGGTGGTAAATTTGATAAGAATTCAAAATTTAAAAACTAATCGGATGAATTAATTAAAAAGGCAAAGTGAACTAATTATAAACAATTTAAAATCATAAACAAAAATTAAAAGATAATAGGTAGGTGTATCATAAAATAAAATATACATTTTGTCAGCTACAATGATCCAACAAATACCGACCATAGTGATTTACACATGATTTATTTACAGTCAAAATATACAGCCTTGACGAAAAGCATGAGAAGTTGCGCATACATTATATACATATCCTATTTCTCCATGACATAGATCTCTTCTAATTTGCTACATAATGTTCATCCTGTCTTGCAAAAGGGAGAGACAGACAGACAAAAAATGGTTTTCTACATCACCATATCAAGGGCCATCCACTATCGTGGTGTCAAATATTCTAAAGTTTCTACTTCCCCATACATCAGTTTTTGAGACATAGTATGATTTAATGCAGACACTCACCCATGGTGGATTTCTTGGCCTATCATTTACCACAACACTATCATCACATTCAGTTACTCCAAGTAATCTGTTCAACTTCCTTTTCACATTTGCAGTGCCGGGATAACCATCAAAAAGAGTCTCCTGTCATGCATATAACATCAGAAAAAGGATCAACCACATAGACTAATTAACAGATAAATAATAAATCATTAGAAAAATATTGATGCCAACTCCTAAATGTTATGAAGTTAAAATTTGTTCTGACCCCATCTTCATCAACTACAAAAGCATGGATTCTAGCTGTTGGATCCTCTAGGGTCAATCTCATCATATACTTCCCAGCAGGCGTGCAGAACTTTTCAGCTTGGTACGGTGCTGCTGCTACCACTCGAACAACACACTTAAACTTAGCTGTCACCTTCAATAAATGAAATAAATTACTAGGTACAGAAGCAATAATGTTTTGAGAAGGCACATAATATTGATCAATGCAGAGTTGGATGTTAAAAGTGAAGAAAACGCAGTCTAGCACCTCTGAATGAGTGAGTACATCCATTAAAGTAAGATGCCGCACACGATTGTGATTAACCTCTGTAAGGGTCAAACATAGTTGGGTATCCCATAAGGAAAGCAAAAATTTGAGCCATTACATAAGAGCCTAGTAAAAGTGTAACGAATGAATTATTACTTGTAATACGTAAAGACTCGGGTAAGCTGTCAATGGACTGAGGCATGCTACCAATAGGCATGTTTCCTGATTTCAACAATATGCGGTCATCATACAACCTGGCTCAACACAAACATAATGAAAATACAATGGTTAACTGACCCAATCTTTCCAAACCATATATTATTACTCCACTAATTTGGTAACCACCTTTGACGTTCTGTAATGAGACGATCTTCACTTGGTGTATGTCGAAGCTTTGAATGTGAGGTAAACACACCATACCACAGCCCTGCATACACTTTGAGACGTATGTTGATAAACTGGGCCCATTTACCACTTTTAAGAACATTGAGATGATTTTTCTCTATGGGTAGTTCAAAAGCAATCCTCAAGATGGAGCCAACAGTAGGCAGAGTACACAGTACATCTCTTGGCAAAGGCAAAGATTCCAATTGTAATGGAAGTGGATGATTAATTTCATCTTCCAGCCTGCATTTCATCAGCAAGCATATCAAATTCCGATGCTAACGTAAATTTATATGCTCTTCACAAACACTACACCAAGCAGGGCCAAAACTCGTTAAGTGAAAAAAGAAACATTCCAATCTCAAGATAAATGGTTATAGATGATGCCCTTGCGATCATATTTATACAACTCTTAGCAAAATCCTGTAAAAAAGAAACTCCTGTACAAAATCCATGGCCATATCAGCACAAACTCATCTTCTGAACTTTTACCAAATTTTCTAGTATTTCTTTTCAAATCTAATTCCTGAGGTAAGAGAACACCTTTAATCTCAATTAAATCCCTATGTCAAGTAACTTGTGTTTTAAAAGTATACAATTTTATCCAAACACTGTACTTTCAATACAATTTATCCTAACCCTGTACTGCATTCAGAGGGGAGTTGAACTGACAATGTAAAGTAATTTTACATGAACTCACATTGAAGTTATGGCATTTGGCGGGGCATCTGTACCGTCCCAAACATAGACAAACCAATTATCTTTCAAAGCCTCCCAGCAATGAAGTATCTTAAGATGCAACAAAAGGCATGAAGGATCAGAACCTTGGAAAGGTAATAACTAAAACTAAAAAATTACAGTTTACAGATTTTACTTGAATATTTATCCAAGAGTTTTAAAACTCATAATACAAATATCAAAACCAATTCCAACTGAATTACCTTGCCGGCCAAATTAAAGTGACCTTCTTTGATTTCTCTGAACATAGGAAAATCACTTGACTCTACACAACACAACATATAAAAACCTTGAGTATACATCAAAAATATATGATGAAGCCACCAATAAATCAAAAAAATACAAACCACCTAAGCCAAAACTCCTCAAACATATACTGATTTTTTTAAAGGTAAGGTAATTCTTGGTTGAGCTAACACCAACTAACTCCGGCCAGAATAAACCAAGGCTTAAATTCCATTGCATGATAAGAGTTATAAACCCCCCCTGATTCCTAATTCTGACCAAACTCGGTAATAACGAGAGTCTATGTGAGGGGTCAAATTAGGTTGGTACTAGGTAGGAAGGGGAAACTTAACTAAATTGCAACCATCTTCTATACCTAAGGGGTACAGTTAGATGAGTTGGCTAGGCACAGATCGATTTCTTGTCAAGAGAGGAAAGGTGACTCTCAAATTCACCTTCTGCAGTGTATTCATTTCTGGTTGCTTTGATAAGAAAATTAATAATTAAAGAAAATGTATTCATGTTACGTTAAAAGCCAAAATCCAATAATACCTGCAGGAATCTGAAAATTGACCAACCATTTTCGAAGCATGTTTATGTGCATTTTGTCCTCGTCTCTGAGGAAAACTTTTGAATAAACTTGATAAGGGACAAAATCATCATCATCACCATTTCCTCTGTACAAGGCAAAAGAGGAAGAGTTTTTGTAGAAAACAGCATTTACTTCCTTAATATGCGTCCTTAACTGTGAAAGACAGGAAAAGGGTTTCGAAAGAGGATAAGTCATAAGTTCATTCTTTAAAAAAAAAACCTGTGCAGAGACAACGTGTGCACCACTACACAAATGAGCATAGAAGCATAGAGTTGATTTCAAGCTGTTTTAAGTTTTTAACACAAGGTTAAAATGCTTTTTAAAATCATCTAATACATGTCTTTAAGGGATGCCAGGATGCATTATATGTACATAAAAACCCACATAAGTTCAGAAAACAACACTTAAACAGTTCGGCACAAAGGGTTGTACCGTAACATTACAAAGCTGAATTATATCTCCGGAAGCAGCAACATGGGGAAGGCTTTCAGCATTTTCAGTAAAGATGTTAACAGCCATACCAGTTTGGTGATGTGTTTCATCGATCAATCTTAGAGTACAACACTGATCTACAGGATTATTCAAGCAGCATCAAATTATAACATGGAGATAACCCTAAATTAAAACTAAAAATAAAAACATATTTTTTTGACCTAAATCAAAGTATTCAATAACAACCATAAATACATGAAATGGAATATTTGAAGAATGAGTGAAACTGGCTCAGAAAACACCTTCAGAAAGCAATAATCAATCTACTACCATAGAAGTAAAAATGGCAGCCGTAAGACCGGCCTTTTTATCATCATTGCCAGTGAAAAATGAAAAAGATGAAAATACCAGTGCCTCTAGTTGTTTTGGGGAGACCAAACTCAAAAACAATGGCGATAATGTTAACTCTCTGATTGATACAAGAATTAGCATCTCGTAATCGGAGTAATTTGTAGTCATTCCTATTATTATTCCTTAACCTAACTGCCATTTTGTCTCTCTCTCTCTCTTCCCGCCCCTAGGGTTAGGGTTTCCAGAGCAAGCCTCGTTGAATTTCAACTTCAAAGAACATGTAATGCTTGGGATAACACTCTCTTTTATTTTATTTTTAATTTTACATATATTGCTGTTTTTTTTTTAACATTGGCTACTTATTAATAAAATTGCTTATTTTAGAAATGAATGTCGATTTTATTTTTAATTTTACATATATTGTTGTTTTTTTTAACATTGGCTACTTATTAATAAAATTGCTTATTTTAGAAATGAATGTCGTGGGTTTTATATGAAATTTGAATCATTAAATTTGGTTTACTTCAAATTACATGGTTGAGTCTAATGTAATATTCTCATATAGACTTTAACCTCCTGTTCTTTGAATACTATCTATGATGTTAATAGAAAATTGATGTCATTAGAATTATTAGAATGGTGTTAGATCGGAAAAGTCATTTTTTCGACTATGATTTTAAGGAAGGTTTTAGGACTTAAGATTGAAGATGAACATTTTCTAAAAGACTCTGCTATATTGTTTTTGCTATTTTGAATAAAGTTGAATGGATTAAATCAGAGAGAGGATCGAGGGGGGCCCATTGTCTACTTGCCTTTTTATTTTAATGTCGGAAGGTCTTTCAGATTTTGTTAAGGGAGTAGTGGCTAGAGAGGTACCCATTATGTTCCACCTTGTTTTTGTTGGTGATTATTTGTTGTTTTGCAAAGCCAATCTATCTGAAGTTAGACATCTCATGAAGTTACTAAGCACTTACGTTGTTGCCTCGGGGCAGGAGATAAACTTGACCAAATCTGAAGTGTTTTTTAGCCCATACATTAGTAATTCAACCAAGGAGGATCTAGCTGATATTATGGGTGTTCATCATGTATTGGATACCAGAAAGTATGTGGGTTTACCCTCTATGATCGGTAGAAAGTAAGACGGCAACTTTTTTCTTTTATCAAATATCGTATTTGGAAATAAATTAATTTTTAGAGAGGTCGAGCATTATCTAGGGCATAAAAGGAAGTTATGATAAAATCAGTGCTCCAAGCTATATCGTCCTATGTTATGAGTCTTTTTATTCTCGCATATGTGATTTGTAACGATATTGAGAAGATGCTTAATGTCTTTTGGTGGGGAGGAGATAGTAATAATCGGGGAATCTATTTGATGGCCTGGGATAAGCTGGCTTGTTCTAAGAAGAAAGGTGGAATGAAGTTTAGAGATTTTACAAATTTTAATATGGTTGTGGTTTCTAAACAAAGATGGAACCTTTTGACTAAGCCTCAAGCTCTGGTCTCCAAAGTTTTCAAAGCAAGGTACTTTCCTAGAACATTTTACTTTAAAGTTAACGTTGGTTATAATCCTAGTTTATGTGGAGGAGCATTTGGAAGGCAAAGGAAGTTTTATCTTTAGGTTGCAGGTGGTGCATTGGGGATGGTAGTCACATCAAGGTTATGCAAGAGCCTTGGATCAAAGGTAAGAAAGAAGGGTGTCTGAGTGGTCCCCATAACCAATGTGCGTACGATATTACTGTTAGAAATCTTTGTTGCCTAATATGGAACAATAGGATTTAAGGTTATTAAAAAAGTGTGTAATTGTGCAGATGCCGAAGAAATCTTGCAGGTGCCCTTGTTGGAGGAGGTCAAGGAAGATAGGATGATCTGGAAGGAAGAACAAAATGGGTCCTACAATGTGCTTTCTGGTTACAGGTTGTGGAAAAGCTTACGGGGGAAACATGAGAATGAGGCCGAGGATTGGAATTGTCTCTGGCATATTAAAGTTCCACCAAGGGTTAAACACCTATTGTGGAGAATTTGTAAAGACTACTTACCGACTCATGCTAGACTCCATCAACATCATGTCCATTGTTCATCTACTTGTCAATTTTGCAATATTAATCTAGAGGATGATTGGAACCTATTATTTGGTTGTAGTGAGAGTATTTATTGTTGGAGGGCCGCAGGTTTGTCCATTTTTATAGATGCTCGATTATATTTTTTCCATGATGTTAAATCACTTATCTTCGATATTTGTAGTAAGAAGGATAAAAAGGATATTGATAGAGTTGTGGTCATGTTAGATGAGATCTGGATGAATAAGAATAACCGGATTTGGAACAATGAATTCGAGGAAGCTCCTAAGCTTGGGTGGTAAGCTTTCCACAAGTGGCAGAAATGGTTTTCGGCCCAAAAAGTGCATATTCGAATAATAACCATCAGGTGTTTTCTTCTTGGAGCCCGCCTGGGGAAGGATGGTTGAAACGTAATGTTGATGCGGAATTCAATAATCAACACATGCACTTCTGTCGCTACTGCGAAAATCGGCGCCGGCTGACAGAAGAGTCGCCACCGTGCGTTATTTATCCCTCAGAGCGGGAAAGGAAACGCTCGAAGTAAACCTCGCAAAAACGGGGAAAAGGTATGGTCATCGCAACCATAGCCTGGATTCGGGAGTCGGTTACGCAAGGGGAAGGTATTAGCACCCCTCACGTCCGTCGTACTCGACGGGATCCACGCTTGCTTGGGTTGTCTACTGGATGCAAAACAAACTATCTACGGCTGCTAAATCTAAACGGAAGGGAATTGACTCGATAAAGCGTCGCACTCTATGCCTACGTATTCTCAAGAGAGAAAGTCAGAGTCAACGTAGTTCGGGACTACGGGGAAAAACTGGCTCGCCAAGACCTCGCATCTTGTGCCTACGTACTTCCACTGGATGGAAGATCAGAGCCTTACGTAGTTCAGACTAACTACGGCTAAACAAACACTCTCACACAGCAGTGAGAAAAACAACTGGTTTCACAGGGTCGGGAACCTATGGTCAAAACTATGGCTTGGTCTCAAATGCACTCGGGCAAGAGAGGCAAAGGGTACTCAATTAGTCGTCAGCGGGAGAGTCTCGATCGCACAGCCGCGAGAGAACAAAAGTTAGTCGTTAGTGTGCTCGCTAGGATATCGCATCCTATGCCTACATATCTTCGTCTGGTACGAAGAATCAGAGCAGCTGTAGTTCGGCTACTATCGGACCACAGCTCAAATCTCGTTTTATTAATCTCTGAAAGATGATTACAATGGGTATACTGAAATAAATCTCCTAGGAAACGCTATCCTATTCTATCTTGAAAAGTTGAATGAAAATAGCCCCCTAACAAATGGGCCTCTAATTCTAACCTAAAAGTCGAAACAATAAAGTCTATGAAAGTATCCTAAAAGAAAATGCTTTAAAAATATTAAACCTACTTTTAATATTTTTTTCTCTTTTTTCTCCTTTTCTCATATTTTTTTATATTTCTCCAAATATTTTTCTCCTTTTCTTTTCTTATTTTTTCTTCATTTTTTCACAAATATTTTCCTATTTTTTCCTCACAATATTTCTCTATTTTTCAATATCTTTTTTCTCCATATTTTTTCAATATATTCTTTCCATATTTCTTTTTCTTTTCTTTTTCTATATCTCAAATATATTTTCTTTTCATCTTTTTCTTTATTTTCTTTTTCTTTATTTTCTTTTTCTTTTAATATTTTTCTTTTTCACAATTTCTAAAAAAAAGGAAATAATAAAAAAAAAATCCAAAGAAATGGGGCTGGGGGGTATACTGCTATTACAGGGGTTAGTGATCAGCAAAAATAAAAGTAAACTGAAGGGCCCAGCCCAAAGGAAATCCAGAAAAAAAACAAAATATTGGGAGGGGGTGCGTGTAGTCTGGGGGCGTATGCTGGCAGGTGGTGTTGGGCTCAGGCCCAACGTTTGTCCAAAAACGTGAGGGGCGCTGATCAAAAAAAATGAACTGGGCCCTGAGGCCCACGACCCATTCTCTCCTTCTCCTTTCTCCCTTCCAAGTTTCTGAAGAAACCCTAGATCTGTCTCTACTCTCTCCGCCGCCGCCGTCAACCCTCCTTGAACTTCTCTTCTCCGTCTCTCTCAACTTTGTTCCTCCACATTTTCCGTCCCAATTCCTTCAATCTTCGAAGAACAACTCGAATACATCTGGACACCTGAGAATATTCTTTGATTGATGAAGACGTTCCTGAAGATTGATCAACGTCTTTGAAGCTTTCTGGATTTCATGTGGATCTTGGCCATTGTTGATAAACTTCCTGGAAATTGGTAAAGAACGCAATGGTGTTCTTGAGTGTTGTTGATGATCTGAAGAACAACAAGCAAACTCTGGAAAACGCTGAAGATTTGTTCTTCGTGAAGATCCTGTTTGAAGGCGCGATGAACAAATCTGGAGATTTCTTGAACGCTTCTTGAAGGTTGTTGAAGTAATGAAGCTGGACCGGAGGTTTCTTCTGGAGATCGTTGATGATCAAACTGGAGATTTGTTGAAGTTCTTGTGATGTTGATGAGCTTTTCTGGAAATTCGTTGAAGCGTGAAGATGATGATGATGTTCATCGTTCTGATGAGCTTTTGGGAGAGGACGACGGTGGTTTCTGGGCGTTTGGAGGTTGAGGACGATGCAGATCAAGGATGAAGGGGGTGGTGATGAAGGTTGAAAAATTCTGTAAAATTGTTGAGGAACGATGGTGATCGTTGATGGACGGTGGTTGAGAGTGGATGACGGTGGTTGAATGAAGGTTGAGATGGAGGATGATCGAAGTTCTGAGTTTATGAAGTTTCCGGTAGGGTTTCACGGTGGCCGGATTCTGGAAACGGCGGTTGGTGATAGCAAGGAGATGAAGATAGGAGGAAGATCATGAAGATGAACGGAATCTGGGATTGTAGGTTTTCCGGCGACGGTTGGTGGTGGTCGCCGGCCATGCAGGCCGGCCGGCGAGACTCTTCAGGCGAGGTTCTGTGGGTGCGACGCGTGGGGAGATAGTGGCGTGGAGGCGTGCATGCCCTCCACGTGGGGATAGCGTGGCTGAGAGAGAGGAGTGGATGGTGGATACGTGGCGTGCTGGGAAATGAAAAGGTGGGGCCTCCTCCTCTGGACACGTGTTGCTCTGAGTATTTATGCTGAGAAGCTCGCTGGAAGCTTCTGGAGCCTTCT